TTTTTTTTTTTTTTTTTTTTTTTTTTAGCACCAGGATGCTGGGTCTGGGCAGGGCAGGGCAGCCATTGATGGGGCTGGGAGAGCGGGCAGGGGATGGGGCCTGTTTGATTCAGAGATTCAGCCAAATCAATTCAGGACAGTGATTCGAATCACTGAATCGAATCTCTGTCCCCCGAATCGGCCGAATCTGAAGTGAATACTAGCCACTTTGCACAGGCCTACTGCCATCCTGCCACCTTTCACCCATGTTATATTTGTGCTTTTAATTTTTATTCTCTAGATGTAGTACTTTGCATTTGTCAGTATTGTGCTATCCTGTGGAAACTTAGGCTTAGTGGGGAAAACAGTTTAATGAGAAATGCTTCAATGAGCTCCAAATACACCACAGAAATGAAGTGCTGTATCCCTGAAAGGAATGATTGAGACTTTCCAGTTGGCTAAATCCTGCAACCTCTCTTCTTTCTAAATTCTGGGGCATGTCATACTTTGAGGATATTAGCTGGTTTGTTTTACTGGGCAGAAACACAATCTTCAGTTTATATTATCTCAGGGCAGGAAATAAAACATGGACTCACTGATCTTCATTTCTGAAGACTCCCCAGAGCACACTGACAGAGATACAGAATGCTGCTAGAAACAACATCCGGACTTGTGGACGCTTGTGAAAATATGGCAAGTTGTTTTCTGGGATTCTGAAAGGAGAAACAACATCAAGCATACATTAATGGGCAAACAGGAAATAAGGAACATGTTAAATAAAGCTCTTCAATATATTTTTTGGAAAACAGACTTATATTGGAAAATAATTATTGTGCTCTACACAAATTGTACTGCTTCTTGTCCTCTATACAAATTACACCCCTTAAATCAACATATGTGTATATAACTCATCATATAGAGAAAGAAGTTAGATTAAACATTCACAGTAAATATTGGATTTGGACCTCAAAAGGCATATTTTCACCTTTAAAAAGTTAGGAAATTGCCATGTACCTGCATTTTCCCAATGGGAATCTTCTTACAAAAGGAGACAGGCAACTGTAGAGACCAATGGAAGCGGCCAGGCAAAAAATACCTATGATAACATAAACTAAAAGAGTAACATTAGTCAGTGGTGGTAGTATAACACACACACCTCAAAATCCTAACCACCTGTGCTGTACACATCCCGAGATTCGCACTAGAGAAAACAAGACCCCTTTAAAATATATCACAGGACATCTTCAGTGCCATCCAATGGCATTTTTCAGGTAAACAAAAAGTGATTTGTCAGTCCAACACAAAAGTTAATGGATGTTCATATGACTAGGCAGTGGAGAGGCTACTTCAATTTTAAATCGGTAAAAGCAAAACTTAGTGGGATTCTGAAATATATGCACCTGAGAGCTCTTACTATTCAAATACTGAACTTTAGCTTATCGTCTTGGGATGGCTGATGTGCTTTGATGGAGGAATCAAGGTCTGTGAGGTGAGGCAGTGTCTATTAGACTAATTTACACAGTTGGGAGAGATCAAAGACAAGCCTTTGAGTTTTAAGTGCCTTTCATTAAGTCAGAAAAAGAAAGTTACAACAATTAATTAAAAGTTACAACAATTGCTCTCACTTTAATTACATTAAGCAATTGGACCATTTGAAAGAGAAATGGGCATTTATGGGTTGAGGACTGAGAAGTTAGTAGTGCAAAGATGAGAGGTGAAGCGTAATGGACCATAAAGCCACTGTCTGTTAAGTGCATGGGTTTTGTTGCCCAACAAAACTATAAATTTCTATTCCCAGCCCCATCTTCTGAAGCTGTTGTATAAGTTTCCTTTTAGGACAAAGATTGTAAGGACGGAGTGATACTTTTGTGAAAAATATTTTCACATTGGTCTCAGAGTGCAGTTATCCTTTCTTAATTTTCTGTGTATGTTCATTCTAGAAGTAGTGACTGTTTGGCTTCACCTACCTAGTTTCTGTGTGGGTATCAGAGAATCATAGACAAGTAGGGCTGAAAGGGACCTCCATAGGTCATCTAGTCCAACTCCCTCCTGAGGCAGGATCATCCCTGGATGATCTGGAACTCTGGATGAGGTACATCACATTTTGTGATAGATAGGTGTATATACGTTCAATGTATTGATTGTTCTGTTGGGGATTTACAGCTTTTATTTACAGCTTTTATGCTACTTTAATAATATGCAACTGTGTGGATTAAGTTATTAATGGGTAATAAGCTATATCAAGCAATATTTAACAGTCTGTCATCAAATTAAACCAAAAATGGGGCACTTATTAGCAATATATTTCTCTGGTCACTGTGGGTATCCCTGGGCAGGGAAGGTCTTCAGTACACCCTTCCACTTGCTCCTGTTCATAGGCACTAAATCCAGAAATAAGGTGGTAAAGCTACTTTAGTGTTGTCCTTTGTGGCTGCTCCTAATCATGCTAAAGACAAAGAATTAACAGCAATCACAGTGGGACCACCCGCAGGACCAACATCACTGGCACACTTCTAGTTTTGGTGCATATTTGAGGGCACCCCTCCCCAGAATGCTGGGGGTATAATATAGACATACCCTAATATATTCAATAGCTACAGATTTACCATTTTTGTTCATGAATCTAATTGGTTCATTCAGCTGGGTTTCATTCATTATGTAAAGATGGGAACAAATACTGCTCTAAAACGAATTTTTTAATGGTTAGCCATTGGAGCTTGTTTCTATGCTTTAAACCTTTCAAGTTTAATTTATGGCCATCTTTTCTGAAGCAATTGTAAGACTGTTCCACAGTAATTTACCATATTAATATACACATATAGATGCTAAAACTATGCTGATTTCTATGTTTTAGCAGCATTAAAATGATTAGTAGCAGAGACAAATTCTTAAAGACATCTAAATCAGATTATGGTCCTAAAACGTTAACTAGTATATACTCCGCTTTTCAGCATGGAAACATAGGCTATGGCCACATATTAAATTTGGAACACAATATGTGCTGCCTTTAGCACAAAAAAGTGGATCCACCAAAAAATATTCCTCTTTCAAAGAGGAACTTTTTTGTAGCACTACGTTTTCTAGCACCACATGTAATGTGTGTGGACAGTTTTACATGTAGTGCGATCAGGCATGCCTCAGTCCTGCATCCCACCACAACTCAACTCTAAGGAGCCTGGGTCTGTGATTCACACCAAACTCTATTACCCTAGAGTCAGGAAGCCAATCTTATGTCACTGTGCCCACTTGCTGCTCAGTGCAAAGGCACATCAAGGCCTCTTACCTAAGCTGCTCACTGCTTTAGGTTGCACCAAAACAGCTTGCAGCACCAGTTCAGAGCATGGCACCTGCAGCCAGGACACACAACGTCCATGCCAGCCCCTTCTTCCTCATCTCCACCAGGTGGAGGCAGGCAGAGATACTGGATTTTCTCACCATCTGGGATGAGATGGAAACACAGTGCTCAGTGAGGATAAGCCAACAAAGCCAGGCTATTTTTGAACTCAACATAGTGGAAATGGTAGTCCAGAGTCACAGCTGTGATTGGGAGCACAAGTGGGCCTGGGATGTTCCACTGCCTGCTACAAGGAGCTGTCAGTGCCTCAAGGGAGATCATTGTGCACAAGAAGCCCCACAACACCTGTGATACCACTGTCCCTACCGAAGCTGACAAACACTTCAGTGCTTCCATGGAGCCTGAAGGGGAGGAAACCTTCATCTCCAGTCTACAACTGCCCTACAACGGGTGCTGGAGGAGCAGGAATTCATGGTGTCCTATAACGTTTTAGAGTCAAGAACTGGAGTCACAACATCGCTGCCCAGAGATAACTCCAATGACACTTTTGTTATAGTTGGAGTTATCCCAACTTCCTGTGTCCTTGACATCACAGCAAGCCTTGGCATTGCATCTCACTGTCCTATGCCCTCCACCTCCCATACTGTGGCTGGAGCCCCAGGTCTGTGGAGCTGCTCTCTCTCCTTCCTGCTGAGTGTCTTCCCCTGCAACCAACAAACCATCTTTCACTGGCACCCCCAACAGCCAGTGCCTTCTAACAGCCCCCAACTGCAACCCAGTGCTCCACCTCCTACTGTCCTGCATCCAGTGGCAAGGGGAACAGACAGCAACATCCAGCCACAGTGGTCATTTCTAAGTTTCAACACCTTACTAGTGAACACTGACCCACTTCCCCAATTCTGCTATCTATGAGCCTGCATAAAAGCCAGTTGCCACAGTGGGTGGGGCTTTCACACTCCTAGGCCAGGTGTCTGGATTTTTAGAGCTGTCAGGTATGACAGGAGTGGGTGATGTGCAGAAACCGTTCAGGAAGGACAGGCAGGAGATAAGAGTTGTACTTTATGTAAAAGGCCCATATGATTGCTCAGAGCTACAGCATGCAACTGGACATAGGCCTACTGAAAATCTCTGGGACAGTGTCAGAGAGGAGAGCAACAAGGGAGATGTCATGGTGGGGGTCTGCAGCAAACCACCAGACCAGGAGAATGAACGTGGATTTCTTTGGATAGCTAGCAGAAGTTTCCAGGTCAAAGGCCCTAGTTCTCATGGGGGACTTCAATCACCCTGACATCTGCTGGGAAGGCAATACAGCAGTGCATAGGCAACACAGGAAGTTTTTGGAGGGTGTTGGAGAGGCCAAGTAGGGGCCATGCTCTTTTTGACCTACTGCTTACGAACAGAAGAATCGGTGGGGAATATAGTAGTAGATGGCAACTTGGGCAGCAGCAACTATTGAGATGATTGAGTTCAGGATCCTGAGGAAAGGAAGGAAGAAGAGGAGCAGCAGAGTAAGGACCCTGGACTTCAGAAAAGCAGACTTTGACTCACTCAGGGAACTGATGGGGAGAATCCCCTGGGAGATCAGTGTGAGGGGGAAAGAAGTTCAAGAGAGATGGTGTATTTAAAAAACAAACCAGGCCCCCCCCCCCCCCCCCCCCCCCAAAAAAAAAACAAACAAAACAAAACCCCAACAACCCAAAAAACAAAGCAAAACCAAAAAAACCCTTACTGAGGGGGTGCAGGAACAAAGCATCCAATGTGTTGGAAGAGTAGCAAGTATGGCAGCCTGGCTTAGCAGGGACTCTTCAGTGAGCTAAAAGAGAAAAAGGGAGCTTATAAGAAGCGGAAACTTGGACAAACAACTAGGGACGAGTATGAGAGTATTGCTCAGGCATGCAAGGATGAAATCAGAAAGGCCAAAGCAAAACTGAAATTGGAACTGGCAAGGGATGTGAAGAGTAACAAGAAGGGTTTCTACAACTGTCAGTAACAATAGGAAGATCAGCGAAAGTGCGGGTCCCTTACTGAATGGCAGAGGCAACCTAGTGACTGATGATATGGAAAAGGCTGAAGTACTCAATGCCTTTTTCACCTCAGTTTTCACAGGCAAGCTCAGCTCCCAAACTGTTGGAGCTAGTAGCACAGTTTCGAGAGGAGAAGAGTGGTTAACAATGGCAAAGGAACAGGTAAGGGACTATTTCAAAAAGCTGGACATGTCCAAGTCCATGGGGCCAGACACAATGCACCAAAGTGTGCTGAGGGAGTTGGCTGATGTCACTGTAGAGCTCCTGACAATTATCTTTGAAAACTCATGGTGATCAGGAGAGCTCGTAGTATGGGAAACAAGCAAGAGGAACTTACCCTCTTGCTAGCTGACACCAACCCGGACATAGTGGGGCTTACTGAAACGTGGTGGGACACAGTGCACAACTGGGCGGTGAATATCAAGGGCTATAGGCCGTACAGGAGGAACAGGACAGGGAGGAAAGGTGGGGGCGTGGCGCTCTACA